ATTTATAGAAATATATATACATACATACATACAGACATAACACAGACATACACACACACAACACACAAACACAACACACCATACACACACACACATATATATATATATAATATATATAATTATATATATATATAATATATATATATATATATTATGTGTATGTGTGTGTGTGTGTGTGTGTGTGTGTGTGTGTGTGTGTGTGTGTGTGTGTGTTTGTGTGTGTGTAATTATATAATATAGAATATATATATACATACACACACACACAACACATATATATATGTGAGTGTGTGTATAAATATACGTGTGCATATTTATGTGTCATCCATATGTCCGTGTGAACTGCCAGGCCGGCCTCAGCTGCTGAACCTGGACGTCCCGCAGAAGGTCATGGAGTTCCAGCACCTGCAGTCGCCGAACCCGCACTCGTTCGCCGTCCTGGAGGGCTCGATCGGCGTCGACCTGAAGGCCTTCACGCTCTGCTACAGGATCAAGCCCTACTTCTTCAGGCCAGAAGTCATTGTCATCTCGTACGTCATGAATAAGAACGACATCCTTAGAACTGGTGCGTATTTCATGGTCACGTAGTAGGCGTAGCAATTTATCTGTCTGTCTTTATGAGCGTGTGTGCAGACACGCACATACATTTACGTACATACACCCCCTCGTACCTACATATATATGCTCACACACACACACACACTGGCATTCAGATCTCTCTCTCTCTCTCTTTAACTAAATGTTGAGTTTCCGTTCCCTTTACGCTCTAAAGAATATCTCTATAAATACGTGCTGATTACCGCACACATTCACACTACTGGGGGTGACATAAAAGAAGGCATCATAAGGGTCGATGAGCTGAAAAATAAAAGTCGAGACGCACTGGTTTGGAAACTTTGCCACGAGGTTCGACCGCACTCTGCTTTCCAGACCACAACCGGCGCGGGCTGCAGCTGATGCTTCCCCTGCAGCGCGTCCGCCAGGCCACGGCCGCCGTCACGCCGCTCATGTACTGGTCGGGCTGGTGCTACGCCATGGACTCCGCCACCGGGGAGTGGAAGGTGCTCGGCCGCTCTTCGAATCGGTTCCTTTGGCTTGATCATAACGGCGGTCATTCCCATGCATCGCATTTCAAATCTATGACTTGAAGCGTGCACCATCACCGATTTTATAACCATATAAATTAATTCATCGTCAGATCTTCATGAATGGCGAGTTAGTGCAGGAAGGGACCTGGCTGCCGGTGTCCAAGGTGTCCCGCCCACGGGCCAACGGGACGCTCGTCTCGCCAGGATCAGGACGAGGCCATTGGAGGCTTCGACGCCACGCAATCCTTCTGCGGGGAGTTCACAGACCTTCAGGTTGGGGGCTTTTAAGATTCCAATCCATTCACTGAGTCCTGTGGGCCTTGGCAGCGTTAGTGCTCAGGATCTGATCAAAGCGATATAACGACTTATAAATGCAACGACAGACAAATTTCCACAAATCTATCAGTCCGCAAAATATAAAAGAGAAAGAAAGAATGAAATAAATGCATGAAACAAAAATGCACTATTTGCAAAGCTAACGAAGGATCACGGCCAATTTTTGGTCTGTTAAAATAGCGAGAGGTCCGAGCCAATGAATAGTCATATATACGGACATACATACACACGAAAATAAAGGCATTTCTGCCGATCTGTTTGACAGATATACAGTAATCTATCCATTCGGTTGATATGCATATCTAGACTGAGAGATATGCATTTATTCATATGCATTTGCTTGTCTGTATAATGCATATTCCCTGGGTCGAGCCTCACGCAAAGCTAACAAAACGGCCGATCTTGAATATGACAAACCGCACTCTCATCCTCGACCCAGATATACAGTAAAATGCTGGACGGCTTCGACATGAAGGACATCACCACCTGCGAGTCCCTGATGGTGGGCGACGTCCTCAGCTGGAAGGACGCCAAGTTCGCCATGAATGGAGACTCGAGAGAAGTAATCCCTTGTCTCTGCTGAAGGAATGGCCTTTGGGGTTACTTGTTGTGTAGAAATTGGGTTGGAATCGTCTACGTAGAGATTAGGTTTTATATCAGTACATGGTAGTAGTGGAGATATTGATGGTTATGATAATGATGATGAAGACGTTTTGTTTATGGTGATGATGATAATCGTGATAATGATGATAATATGATAATAGTAATGATAGTGAAAATAAAAAAAAGATAATTATGGGATAATAATTATTAATAATAACAATAATAGTAATAGTAATAATATAATGATATAGTAATTGATAATAATGATGATGATATGATAACAATAAAAGTAGCATAATATGATAATAATAGTGATGATAATAAAGATAATGCAATAACAACAATAAAGCCATAAGGATCAAAGTTCCTGTTTTGCGTCCACTTCCCGCAGGTCCCGACAACGACCGCCAAATAGATTAATTATTTTCCATAGATTTCATTCCTCCTCAAAAAATATGAATTGATGACTTTGAAAAGCTGTTCTCTTGTCATGTTTATTTTTAGAGAGAATACTTTAACCAGCATGAATGAAAAGTTATGAATATCCACAAGAAGAATGATTTGATGACTTTTGAAAAACTGTTCTTTTTTAAATGTTTGTATAAATAAATCATGAATAATGAATAATTAAATATCAACAAAACTTCCATTAATGTGGCCAAATGATATTATTAAATAATGATAATTAATGCTACTACTACTACTACGACTATAGTAATACAACCAATAATGATAAATAATATAATAGCATTATCATCACCATCGGCGCCACAATTCCCAGTCAGTCACGACCCTGATGGCCACCTGCGACGGCCCGCTCCCGCTCGGAGCGCTGTGCTCCTCGTTCGGGGGCGAGCTCGCCACGCCCATGAACGCCGACGAGCAGGAAACGCTGTTCAGGTGGGTGGGGCAGCGGGCGGGCGTTTGATGTCTGCCAGTGTCTCTCTTTGTAGTTATCGATTTATTTAGTTGTAAGAAAACTATAAATATCTAAGATTTATCAGCGTAAGAAATTGAGTAGCTTCTGTTGACCTTCTGCAGGCTATCTTCCGTGAACGCAGACATCTGCGCCGCCGACGGAGGCGCGCTCATGTGGCTGGGGATCCAGGACGAGAACGAGGAGAAGATCTGGCGCTACTACAACTCCCACGAGGAGGTGCAGTTCCTGCTGTGGGCGCAAGGGCAGCCCAGCGGCGGGGAGCTCGAGAACTGCGCGGTGATGAAGGGCGGCACCTTCAGCGGCACGTGGGCGGACAACGGCTGCCACAAGTCCTTCAAGTTCTGCCCCGTGTGCCGCGTGCGCATCCCCGTGTTCCTGCGGCTGCGCGGCATCTGCGACAGCAACCTGTACGACGACCGCTTCATCCTGGCCGGCCTGCGGAACCAGAAGCCCTACTTCCGCGGCTACTACCGCTCCCACGTGTTCCACGACGGCCTCGGCTGGAGGCTCGAGAACATCCTGGAGAACAACACGTTCGCCGTCATGGAGGAGTCGGGCTCCGTCGACTACCCCATCGGCAGGAACAACTGGAGGTTCTCCCACGGGTTCTGCGGCCGGAAGTCCGGGGAGCTGATCTCGATGGCGCTCACGCAGTGCCAGAATAACGTGAAATTCACCTGCAACGACGGCAACTGCATCGACATCGACCAAGTGTGCGACCGACGGCCTCAGTGCAACGATAACTCAGACGAACTTGACTGCAGCATTGTGCTGAAACCAGAAGGTAAAGGCACGAACACACTTCTTAATCGCCAGATATAGTATATGAAAATATACTATATACACTTCAAATGAATTATGCTTTCCTAAACATCCTCGTGTTCCACAGGATACCAGCCGGAGCTGCCGCCGCCCTCCCTCAACAACAGCGGACCGCTGCCGGTGTTCCTCAACCTCACCCTGGAGTCCTTCAAGTCTGTCGAGCCCATTCGCAACCACTTCACGGTGGACGTCGTCGTCAAGTACACTTATGTTTTTTTTTCGCCTTAATATTAATATAATATCTTTAAATTTATTTATTTTTTCTCCACCCGTAGTATTATTGGTATTATTGGAAGTGCAACTCCACACCTAACAAAGAATCTGAGCTCACCATGTGGTAGAACACCTATCTTATAAAATCTGAGCTTACCAATGTAGAGGGTATAAAATCCACGATTTCCAGGAGCCGCGGCAACCTTCAACCTCCAGCGCCGCGACAAAATGACAAAAATTCGTTAAGAGCGACGGGAAATCGGACGGATTTGTAGCGGATGACGTATGCGAGGGAAATCAAGTGAGCCAATTAGATTCGTGCGTGAATGTGACGTGAACATAGACACCCAATAAAACCAATCAGATATGGAATAGATCATCACGTGACAATAGAAGCTGGGCCTTCAAATCAGTTCCATCATGGCTAGACAGTGTGTAGGTTGTGAGAACAATTATTTCGATTTCACTGTGAAATATCAACAAAATAACGAAGCAAGCTTACTAAATCTACATCACGGTGTACTGCCAGTGGAAGTACAATACTCGCACTGTAAGACATCGTGTCATTACAGAAATGACAGACACCAGTGGGTTTGTGATGCATGGAAAAGGATTTAAAAAACATAACGAAGAAAGCAGTGTTAGTATGAACGCAATTCCCGCCAACAACGACCTGGAATACCCCGACGTTCCCAGTGACCCGCAGCCTGGCCCGTCTGGAGTTAAGGCTGAAGGTATGATGAGGTTAAAACTGTTCCTAGGTCTGAGCCCTCTCCTGCTGGAACATAAGGGGTGACAATTTTACAGACCTAGTTTGTCCAGGCTCAATCCTGCCGGAACATACGAGGTGAAGATTTTGTAGACCAGGCGGGGGGTAGGGGGCGGTAGCCCATCCTGAAAGGGGTTTTAAGGGAACAGCGCCCCCTATACAACTCGGAAATTTGTTAATATACTATGCTTACTAGTATTCTACCGATATTTCTCGAAACTCCCAGATATGTAGGCCTGTCATGCCCTCCCCAGCTAGCGAGACCGATATCGTAGTTATGCTTCGTTTGCGAAGGAAATGAGTGCTAGATTCGTTCGAAACACGACGAAAGCTATTCGAAAATTATTCTATTCACCCAAAAATGGTGTGGGGTTGCATTTCCAAATTTACCCTAGTTCCATTTCGATATCGCTTCTCTGCCTCAGGATTTTTCTTTCTTAAAAAGAATCCCACATAGCATTTGTAAAACAAGAGAGGGAAAACTCCCAACACAGTTTCTCATGGCCAACCTCACACCACTGCAGGATGATCTGGAAGGACATCCGCCTGCACTTCAAGAACCTCAGGGAAGACAGGCAGCTGAACATCGTCCTACCTGAAGACGCGAAGGAAATCTGGGTTCCTGTGGTGGACTTCCTCAACGCAGAAGGCAACCAGAACTCAGAGGTTGATCTTCACTCCAAAGTCACCATAAAACGACTTGGGGGGAAAGTGGAAGACAACGTCGAATTATCCAAAGAAGGTGAGAAAAGCCAGTGCATGTTCGTCGTGCCTTGTTTCATGGGATATAGGGCCGCTGGTGTGGTTCGCGCATGGCCTTGGTTTAACGACTTTGGTGTGGTTCGCGAGATTTATGCTTGGTGGTTCGTTGCCATCTTTTGAAATTTGGTTATCCAACTTTCCTGACCCAACATGGTAAAAATGCATTCCATAGCAAATCATATAATTCTTTGCCTTTTCTGTTTTGCTAATCGTACGTATCTGTTTAGCCAAAATGGAAAAAATCGAAGCAGTGAAAAATAAATAAATAAAAAGATGAAAATGGAATCACTAATAAAATATCATTCATGTTCTGAAAGCTTTTGCAACTGTTCTGAAACAGAGGGCTAGAAAGCTGCATCATTATATCAACCTCATGAGATGCTCATTCAGTGATAGACTATTCCTACATTCCTATTCATCAAATTTAGATGCAAGCATATTCCTTATTCTATATCGTTAGTGATATCTAATTGTGCACTGTAAATTGTTAAATTTAAATGGAAAGATGATATTTCCTTGTAGCATAGTTTTTTGTAAATTTAATAGTTCAGAAAATGACGAGAACGTCTTAAGGCTGCTAATCAGATTTTTGTTAGGCCTGTTCCACTGATGTAAATCTAGACAATAACATCCGGAGCCGACGTATGACCAAGACCGATTTCAAAGCTTATCTTATTTCTGTATATTTGGTTTGTATCCGTCGTGCCTATATATATATAACCTAATCTAATCTAGTTAGTCGTGGATATCGTTTTCAAATATCTAACACTGATTGTTTGTCGCCGCAGCCTCCATCTACAACGGGTACGAGAATTACCTCCGCATCTCGAGGAAGTACACCATCACCTTTTCCTGCAACTTCAACTTCTTCTACTACCCGTTCAATACAAATTACTGCAGCATGATCTTCCAAGTGAAGCGCAACACGGACGCGTACGTAGCGCTGCTCAAGTACGGGGACGGCATCAATTACGACCACAACGACAGACTGTCCGAGTACGACATCGGGCGCATCTTGGTGAAGAAGCTGTCGACGCGCGAGCCGTACTCGGGCCTGGAGGTCGTGATCCAGATGAAGCACCTGTACGCGTCCCAGATCCTCACCATCTTCATCCCGTCGACGATCATCAACCTGATCACGTACACGACCTTCTTCTTCAAGTGGTACGACTTCACCAACCGCGTCATGGTGTCCCTGACGTCGCTGCTCGTGCTGATGACCCTCTTCTCGCAGGTGGCGGACACGCTGCCCAAGACGTCCTACTTCAAGCTCGTCGACATCTGGTTCTTCGTCTCGATCCTCTACACCTTCATCATCATCCTCGTCCACACCATCGTCGAGTCCTTCCACAAGTACGACATGGAGATCAAGGAGGAGGAGGAACGTCGAAGGGAAGTGGAGAAGAAGATGCTGGGCGTGGCGCCGCCTCGCTCGGCCTTCTCCGAGATCGCGAGCACAGCGAGCTACTTCTCGGACGACTCGGACTTCAGCGACAGCGACTACGACACCGAGAGCGACGACGACCCGAGCGGGACGACTCTCTCCCACAACTACGTCCCCGTCCTGATCGACAAGTGGGGGAACCTCATCACGACGGCCATCTACATCGTCCTGAACGTCATCTTCTGGGCCATGGCCTTCACGGAGAAGATTCAGGAGAACATCAAAGATTACGAGTATGAAATGATGCTGCAGAAGCAACCCGTCCAGGAGGTGCGAGGCTATCCTTAAAAATGAAGTTTCACTATGATTTTAAAATTTGCCGAAGTAGAATGCTCTACAGGATTCCATCGCATCTTCATCGAAACAGTTCAAATACAAAATTCTATGAAGAAATACGTCTTAAAGACATTTTTCTTTTTTTGCTTTTATATGCACTATAGGAGGATGTTTAGTAGCACTCTGTCTATTTGCCGACATCAACTATCTTCGCATCAAAACAAAATGCTCTAATTGGTTTCACCGCCTTACACTGTCGACCATACAAAGCCAATATAGCTAAATTATGAGAGAAATTCAATGTGACTCACTGAGAATTACATAATCTTAAACCAGACGATTGGATATAAATCTGAAGATGCTAACATCAAATGCATTTCGTTCAGATTACAATATTTTCTTAGGGTACATATGCTTGAGGGAAAGAGGCTCAATAATAGAATGGTAGAAGGGTCAGGGAAGGTAAAACTTGTCTTGCCGCGGGCGCCGCCGTCCCACGCTCCGCCGCCTGCACACACACACATACATTGTGTGCCTGTGTCTCGACATACAGAAGCATATTTATTATGAAAACGGACGAGGTTCGGCATATCGGAGACGAAACATTGAACTATAAAAGTATATCACGAAAATATTATCTACAACACTGTTTCTTTAAAGCAATTCCCTCCAGCTTTAATATGGCATCTATTGTCGAGGCGCAGCTGACAAAATAGTAAATGAAAAGTGTTCCTGAAGAAAAGTTCACAGACGGCTCCAGGCCATCAGGGAGAAACCGGATAACAATGCTACGGTTGGAGAGGATCATTTTAAAGGGACAGTGTACTGCTTAGGCTACAATCTGACATATTTTCTATTTACGAACTTTTTTTTCTCTTTTTTTTTTGTTTCGTCTTTTGTCTTACTGTCGGAGGCCCTATTTGTGTATGTGTAATTTTGCATGAAATTAAGGTATACCCATATGCACCATGTATTGCTGCGGAATTACAGAGAGGAGTTATTATGCGAGATACAAACAAACTTTAAAATCTATGCTTGACTTCTTGTTAATACTGCAACGTGATTAATATTACTACTGGGAAATATATGTATCAAGTACATACACATTTTAGATTTAGATTAAAGAAAATATCAACATAATGCTGCAGTGCTCACTCTCGTCAGACAATTACAAGATGCTAGTCGTATAGTATACCACAATAGACAAGTAAATATTATCTGTGTACACTTATGTCTGATTAGAGAAAACACATTATGTCGTCTGTGTAAATGAATTCACCCTCAACACGTATGTTAACTTTGCATCATTGCTTGGTAAACCCCGTTTCAAGTTTTTGCCTAACAATGTCCATTGTGTGCGTGTGTACATATACACACACGCATTCACACACACACACATGTACATATATATATATATATATGTATATCTATCTATCTATCTATCTATCTATCTATCTATCTATCTATCTATCTATCTATCTATCTATCTATATATATATATATATATATATATATATATATACATATATATATATATATATATATATATATATATATATATATATATATATAATATATATATATATATAATATATATATATATATATATATATATATATATATATATATATATATATATTATATATATATATATATATATATATATATATAAACATAAATATATATATATATATAAATATATATATATATATATATAATATATATATATATATATATATATATATATATATATATATATATATATATATATATATATACATATATATATATATATATATATATATATATATATATATATATATATATATATATATATATATATATATATATATATATATATATATATATATATATATATATATATAAATATATATATATATATATATATATATATATATATATATATATATATATATATATATATATATATATATATATATATATATATATATATATATATATATATATATATATATATATATATATATATATATATATATATATATATATATATATATTATTATATATACATACGTATATATGTATATACATACGTACATATATATACATAAATATATATGTATATACATGTGCGTGTGTGTACGTATACACACACACACACACACACATATGTATATGTGTGTGTGTGTGTGTACATTTAACATCTAAGTTAGTGTCTGACACTTACCTTAAGATGTCCTTTCTTGAGAGGAAGGTACAGGCCTGAGGAAATATGATGGAAATACATATTTTATATCATTACTGGTAAATAACAACAGTATCAGTTCGTATGTAGACAAATCGATGATAAATCACAACCCTTTCATGACAAATCAGTTATAAACGAAAATTCAGCGAACTTGCAATACGAATTCTATTTATGCAGTTGGCAAAGTAAGGCAACCGATGTAACTATTTCTGTACATCAACAGTTAACATATGAATGATGTATTCTTTGTACTACGAGGGAAATGACACTGAAACTGTAATATTGCACTTTTTTCATCCACCAGCGCAAACTCTATCCTTGCTGCAGAAACTTATTATGTGAAATGTAACCAGAAAATTAATTAAAAGGTAAAAGTAAGAACTGTTGATAAAAGTATTCTTGTCTCGCTGCAATGGGCATGGATTCCTTTTCCCATGGCATGCATTAATTACATAAAATTACAATTACATAAAAAGTTAAATGTTTTTGTGCTCCTGGAAGACGACCACTTCACGCT